TGTGCTCATTCTCTCTGTCTCTCTCGCTCTCCCTCTCAAATAAATAAAACCATAAAAAAAAAAAAAAACCTTGTCCTGATTATTTACATAAATGAGGAAGAATAGAGTTTGACCTATCAAATCTTTAAAAATGGCTTTTCTGGAACTTTTTTTTTTTTAAAGATTTATTTATTTATTTATTTGAGAGAGAGAATGAGAGATAGAGAGCATGAGAGGGGGAGGGTCAGAGGGAGAAGCAGACTCTCTGCTGAGCAGGGAGCCCGATGCGGGACTCGATCCCGGGACTCCAGGATCATGACCTGAGCCGAAGGCAGTCGCTTAACCAACTGAGCCACCCAGGCGCCCTGGAACTTTTCATAAGGAATCTCAAGATTGAACATTCAATAGTTTCTCCACACCAGGAGCCATGCCATGAACTTGCTACCAGACTTTGTCTACAATAACAACAGATCTGGGTAAATTCCTCTCTTCATGAAGACCCCTAACTATCCCTGGGTTCCTGCACCTCTTAGGAAATTACCTTCCTTGCTCTCCTGGTAAGGCTGCTGGGAACTCCGTAAACAAGGTGTCAGGTTGATATTTCCAAGGGGGCTTTATTGGCTCCATAAAGTCAATCTTAGTTCCTTATAGCTGTCATCATATCTGAATCTATGCAGCTCTTCCTCAGCGATGACATTCTAGTCAAAGCCTTGGTTATATAACCAGTGTTTTCAATTGTGTATCCTACCAATGAAAACAGATTCTTATTGAAATTGCAATTGCAAATACATATATTGGCTAAAATATAATAGTTACTTCGACTTTCTGGATTCTGGAATAATCAGGTAGGGAGAAAAGATAAATATTTCAATTTGTTTACAAAGGTATATTTTATGCCCTGGTGCAAGTCAGTTAGGAGAAAAGTTTACTTGGGGTGCCTGGGTGGCTTGGATGGTTGAGCATCTGCCTTTGGCTCAGGTCACAATCTAGGGGTCCCGGGATCGAGTCTGGCATCGGGCTCCCTGCTCAGTGGGGAGCCTGCTTCTCCCTCTCCCTCTGCTTCTCCCCCTGCTTGGGCTTTTTCTCTCTCAAATGAATAAATAAAATCTTTTAAAAAAAAGTTTTCTTAAACCTGTAAAAAACAAAACATTTAAAAGGACTTTTTCCAATTCCGGTTAGTTAATATACATTGTAACATTAGTTCCAGGTGTAGAATAGTGGCTCAACAATTGCACGCAACACCCAGTGCTCAAAACAAATGCACGACTTGATTCCCGTCCTTTATTTTACCCATCCCCCAACCGAACTCCACTCTGGTAACCATCAGTTTCTCCTCTATACTTAAGGGTGTGTTTCATGATTTGCCGATCTTCTATTTTTCTCTTGGCTTCCTTCTTATAGTCCACATATGAGTGAAAATATATGGTATTTCTCTTTGCACCATCCATGTCATTGCAAACGGCAAGATTAAATTCCTTTTTATGGCGGAGTATTATTCCATTACCTCACCCACCCACCCACACATACACACAATGTCTTCTTCCTTCATTAACCAGTCAGTGAATACTTGGGCCTGAATGTTTGAACAGAAATGCTCACTGCCACTGACTGTTGAACCGCTCCTCCAACAAATCCATGGCACAGAGCCAGAGAATGGGACTATACCCATAATGGGGCTGACTGAAGCGAAGAAAGTCCTGCAGAGCAGTGCATCAACTTTCATGAAATGTCACCCAGCTACAGTGGATCTAAACTTGATTGGGGTTATATACCTGGGATACTAGTGCTTGGGTGCAACCACAGCACATGCCTTGCTGATCCTGCCTATGCCACCGTCTAAAAGGCTTCTTCATCTCTAAAACCTACTTTGCCATGGGATATTTGTTTTTTAAGAATTCTATTTGAGAGAGTGAGAGCATGAGAGGGGGGAGGGTCAGAGGGAGAAGCAGACTCCCCGCCGAGCAGGGAGCCTGATGTGGGGCTCGATCCCGGGACCCCAGGATCATGACCTGAGCCGAAGGCAGTCGTTTAACAGACTGAGCCACCCAGGCACCCCTACCATGGGATATTTTTTTAAAAGACGTTTAATTAATCAGAGAGAGAGAGAGCACAAGCAGGGGAAGTGGGAGGCAGACCAGGCAGAGGGAGAAGCAGGCTCTGCGCTGAGAAGAGCTCAATGCCAGACTCGATCCCAGGACCTTGGGATCATGACCTGAGCTGAAGGCAGATGCTTAACTGACTGAGCCATCCTGGCATCCCTACCATGTGATATTTTAAAGCTACGCCCAAATGATTATATCATCCAATATCCCTCCTCCATCAATTACCACTGATCTAGAACTGGGCAAACAGTCATCGTTATCCAAAAGAATAGGGTCCTCAGTAACACATAGAAATTCAATTTAATCATGAAAACACAGTAGGAGTCCCCTACCCTTCAGAAACCCACATTTGCCAATTCCTTATCCCCATTACATGTATTCATCAGATGACACCACCAAAAGCTGTGTGTGCCTTTGGAGTGGCTAGAGGGAGCCACCTCTGTCTGGTTCCCTCCCCACATTGGAAAGAGTTCTTCACATTTTTTTTTTTCTAAGATTTTATTTGAGAGAAAGAGACTGCATATGTAGGGGGACACAGGCCAAGAGAGAGAGAGAAGCAGACTCCTTGCCGAGCAGGGAGTCCGACGAGGGGCTCAATCCAAGGACCCTGGGATCATGACCTGAGCCGAAAGCAGACACTTAACCAACTGAGCCACCCAGGCCCCCCTCACATTTTCTTTTAATAGATCTTTCTAAGGATGGTGCCTTCATTGTGTTTTACAACCCTGTGTTAAAGGTCTGAATACCCATTGGCCTTCCATTTCTCTAATCTCAATTCAGTGTTTACTTAGGAAACTCTAGCCACAGCACAAGCAAAGAAGAATGTTTGTGATGCCTAAATAGCTGGAAACAAAACTGAGGATTAGAACTGGAGATCTGGAGATAAATAGGAAAATAAGTAGAAGTTATTTTTCTAAATCCAAGGAGTCAGTTGTGCAACCCAAGAAAGGTATCCTCTCTCCACATGCAGAATTCATGCCAATTATTCATCTTCTGTATTTTCTACCTCTTACTTGAGGCTACAGTATCACTCCTATTGGAATGTTTCTCCTACTTATAGGGTACCTATGACACACCAAGAATTAATAAGAGTGTATGCTTACTTCATAGAAAAATTAAAACAACACCCCCATGTATGAAGCGGGGCACATACCTTTATTTGGGGCCACGGTACAGTGCTTTAACAGCCCAAGACTAAGTCCAGATTGAGTCATTCAAACTAAAACAGGTTTAGGTAAGCTCTGTGGGAGTCTTCTCTAAAGGACACATGAGGGAAAGTCATGGCAGTCAGGGGACATGTTTGCTCATAAGGGTGGACTGGGGATGTGAACAGAAGTTACAGTAACTTGTGACTCTGCAGAGTGTTGTCTAGGGAACACAACAGTGAGAAGGGCAGGTGTCAGTTCAAGGCCCCTGCAAAAGTACTGCCTACATAAAATGTATCCCAAGTAGATTATGGAGTACTTGTCAATAAGACGCCCATATAATCTGTAATATGTCCATGATAATATCCCACTAATTCCTAAGAGGAGAAAATGATACAATAGATGAACTAGGGTAAAAATAATCACACATTATTTAAACTTCAAGGACAATGAAAAAATGGATGACTAGGTATATTATTCAACTCCATTACCAAATATGTGATAGATTCCATCAGTTACCTACAACCTTTAGATAGGTTAACATTGGTGGTGGGATAACACTTCATTACTCATCCATGGTAATACATTAAAAATCAATTATTGTTTTATTAATTAAGCTCACACATGAACTAAGTTATGAATTTCAAATGCACTCTATGATCCTTATTCAAAATACAGAATCCAAATGTTAAAAAGCACTCGTATGCGGATATAATGATGTGGAAGTAGTGACTTCCATAATTTTCAGGCATGAGGTCATTGTTAAAAAATTGGTATATAATTTGTGTATATATAATTATATACCATTTTAGAGAAGAATTAGCTATCCACTTTCTGACATCTGTGAAGATTTCTTCATTTCAACCACATCAACTGACATTCTCTACTTGTAACAATAGCTATTATGAGGATACATCAGTATTTTACTGGACTGCTACCTTTTTCCTCAAAAAACCAGATGGTAAAATATTTTATTTATAATATCCAGGAAGTTCTTTAGCTTTATTAAAAGAATGTTTTTCTGAACACCTCTTTCATGATAATTGACATTAATGTTATAACCGCAAACATCATCTCCATTTAGATTTTCTTCATATATTGTATATTATATTGTACTTCTTCTTCCATGGACAATTAGATATGTGAGTCCCAACAAATGAAGAAGGGCATCTCATATCTTTGATACAGCAACACACGCACTAGGAATAAATGAATTTCATGAAATGATTTGAGAGTACAAATACATTAATATTTGCTAGTCACAAATCCCAGATAGGACAAATGAAAAAAAAAGCACATACTGAAATTAATTATACTAATGTAAAAATCCATCCACTTAAACCTTTGAAGCATAATAGCACATACACTAAGTGTTTAACTTTATATTATTCCTTATAAGGAATATTTTTATGTAACATCTGAATAGATTAATTCCTATACTGCCTTCTACTTGATTTCTGTGATATTTATTGACATTCGATGTTCACTTACATACATTTCTAAATATTTACATCTTTCAAGTTGCTTTCATTTATGTATTCTCTGGTGTTTGCTACAGTGAATATTTAAAATGAAGGTCTTTCCTCATTCATTATGTTTCTAGGGTTTGAATCTAGGATGCATTTTGGAATACTGAGTGACTGAATTCCAGTTAAAGGCACTGCAACTTTGTCTGAATTTAACAGTTTCTATCCTGTATGATAATTATGATGTTGAGCAATTTGTGAATTCCAGCTAGAGGCTTGCGACACTCCTTATATTATAATCTTTCTCCTCAGCATACGTGCTGCCAAAGCGACCACTCTTTCTCCTCGGTATAAACTCTGAGATACAGACAAGGGTTGAGCAGTTTAAAAGTTTCCCCATGTTCTTTACATTTATAACTTTTTCCCCCGTATGAATTCTGTGATGTTGAATGAGGCCTGACCTCTTATGAAAGACCATGCCAAATTCTTTGTATTTGCAAAATCCACTCCAGCATACATTCTCTGATCAGGAATCAGGGTTTAACATTGCTTAAAGGCCTTGCCACATTCTTAACAATTTTATGGTTCCTCTCCACTATGAATTCTCTGATGTGGAGTAAGGGGTGAGTAGTCTTTAAATGTTTTCTCACATTCTTTTACATTTGTAATGTTTGTTCCACTATGAATTCTGTGGTAATGAGTAAAGGTTGAACAGTGATTAAAGGCTTTCCCACATTCTTTACTTAGGTAAGGTTTCCATCATCAAGTATGAGTTCTGTGATGTTGACGCAGGTGTGAGTGCTGGATAAAGGCATGGCCACATTCCTTACATATGTAAGGTCTCTCTCCAGTATGAATTCTGTGATGTCGAGTCAGGTGTGAGTGCCGGTTAAAGGCCTTTCCACATTCTTTGCATACGAAAGGTCTCTCTCCAGTATGAATTCTGTGATGTTCAGTAAGCTTTGAGTGCTGGTTAAAGGCCTTGCCACATTCTTTACATTGGTAAGGTCTCTCTCCAGTATGAATTCTGTGATGTCGAATAAGGTATGAGTGCCGGTTAAAGGCCTTGCCACATTCTTTACATATGTAAGGTTTCTCTCCAGTATGAATTCTGTGATGTTGAGTAAGGTTTGAATGCAGGTTAAAGGCCTTGCCACATTCTTTACATATGTAAGGTTTTTCACCACTGTGAATTCTGTGATGTTGAGTAAGGCTTGAGTGATGGTTAAAGGCCTGGCCACATTCTTTACATTTGTATGGTTTCTCTCCAGTATGAATTCTGTGATGCTGAGTAAGGTTTGAGTGCTGGTTAAAGGCCTTGCCACATTCTTCACATTGGTAAGGTTTCTCTCCAGTATGAATTCTTTGATGTCGAGTAAGCATTGAGAGCTGGTTAAAGGACTTGCCACATTCTTTACATTGGTAAGGTTTCTCTCCAATATGCATTGGTTGATGTTGAGATAGTGTTGAGTGCCAGTCAAAGGCTTTGCCACATTCTTCACAAATATAAGTTTTCTGTCCAGTAGCGACTGTGTTATGTATGTTTAGTCCTGATGCTTGGCTAAACATGTTCCCAGGTTTATTACATCTGTATGAGTTTTTTTCCATGTGAATTCTCTGATAATCACCAACATTGGAGGACTGGTTAATGGATTTCCCATATTCATTATATTTATAAGGATTCTCTCCCAAAGGGATACTCTTATATATAATAAGGTTGGAGCTTTGATAAAACACTTCCTCAAATTTATCAAAATTAAAATGGTTCTCTGGGAAATGAGTCCTCACAGGTTTATAAACATTTGAACACTGGTTAAATTTTCTTGCAGATTCGCTACATTGAGCAATTCTGTTTTCATTGAATATGTTCTGGTAATTTTGTAGAGTCAACTCCCCGGTGAAGGACCTCTCAAATGGATCCCACATAGCACTTTGTTCTTCATTTTTAAATCTCTGATTTTCAGAAATATTTGACTCAAATGTCAATCCAATCCTACTTTCAAAATGGTTCAAATAATTATTTTCAGCATGAACTAGATAACTTTCCAGATTTTCCAAATTTTCGTTCTCCAGATATGTATGTTTGACCATTTGATTTAAGCCCTTGCTTACAGACACAAACTGCTTTGCAGAAGAAGCAGGATTAAGAAGGGATGTTTTCCAAAGCGTTTTATATCCTTCATCATTTTGGGCAGTGAGATTCATATTATGGACAGTTGTCTCAGTTTGGATATGTCCTTCATGATATCTTTCATGCCCTTTACTCTCCCCATCATTTTTCCAGTCTATCATTAAGTGTAAATCCTCAAGGGCACTATGCTTATATCTACCCACTGCCACGTTTTGGAAAGAAGCTTCTATGCACAGCTTTGGCAGGAAATTCTGGGTGCCATTTGAAGATACAGCTGAAAGATATTGAATAAGAGAAAAGTAAAATCATTCCACTTACTACTCTCAGATGAATATAATGAAAACTTCTAGTATGGAAAAATAAAATCAATCAGAGAACTTCAGCAAGATGGCTGAGAAGGAATCATCAGGACTTCATTCCTCCAGGGACACATAAACTTGCAGACATATACCCGTAACATAGCCTAACATACGGTTCTGTAGTATGGTCATGCTGGAGCACACATCACTTTCCTATACCTAAAAAATCAGGAAAAGTACCAGTCGAGCCTAAAATTAGCAGCAGGAACTAAATTTAAACTTAAAATACAAATAAAACAAGATATAGCAAAAACAGAAAAATATCAACAATAGGAATAGTTTGTGTTCAGAAAAGAGCAAAAGCATTGACATACTTTTAACTAAATCAAGTAAGAATGAAAGAGAAGACCAACTAAAATCAGAAGTGAAGACATGAAAGCACAGTATAACCGATACCATAGAAATAAGAAAATTATAAGAGGTGATGATGGATAATTATATGCCCAGAGATAGATAACCAAACAAGGTGTATAAATTTTTAAAAAAACGTACAATCTATGTGACTCCATCATGAATTTAAAACAAAACAAAAGAAAAACCCTGATCTATCAATATGGTAGATTGAAGTAAATTGAGTAGATTGAAAAAGAAAAAAAAAAAAAAAGTCCAACAAAGAGAAGTCCTGTGCCAGATGAATTCACTGGTTAATTCAAAGAAACATGTAATGAGAAAGTATTTCAAATCCCTCCAGCATTTCCAAGAGGTGAAGAGAAGGGAAATTATCAAACACTCTGTGACACCAGCATTACCACCTTAACAAAGCCAAGGAAGATATTATAAGCAAAGAAAACTACAAATTGCTAAATTAAAGAATAGCCAGGTAAATGCAACAATAAAAGGAAGCAGACCGAATCAAAAGCACATTTTACTATTTTACAACATAATCAAGTGAGAATTCTTCCTGGAATCCAAGTGTGTTTCAATATACCGAAATCTATAAACTTAAGATTGCACATTAATAGAATGAAGATCAAACATGACATCATATTAATTCATGTAGAACAAGAATGTGAGCATACGGGACACCATTTCATGATTAAAAATACTCAATAGTAGGAATAGAAAGAAACTAACCCCACCTAATAAAGGCCATATATGTACAAAAAGCAGATATCTAACATATTTGATAGTAAAAGACTGAAAACTTCTCTATAATCAGACACAAGGCAATAAAGAGCCTTCGTCACTTCCAACCAACATAGTACTAGATATTCTAGTCAAAACAATTAGGCAAGAAAAAATACATAAAAGGAATCCAATTGAAAAGAGAAAGAAAGCTATCTCTGTTCACAGATGACATGATCAACAGAAAACCCTAAAGAGGGGCACTAGGTGGTTCAGTTGTTACGCGTCTGCCTTTGGCTCAGGTCATGATCCCAGGGTCCTGGGATCGAGCCCCGCGTCCTGGGATCGAGCCCTGCATCGGGCTCCATGCTACGCAGGAAGCCTGCTTCTCCCTCTCCTGCTCCCCCTGCTTATGTTCTCTCTCTCGCTGTGTCTCTCTGTCAAATAAATAAATAAAATCTTAAAGAAAAAAAAAAAAGAAAACCCTAAAGAATCCTTTTCATTTTTATGCTATTTCATTTTTTTATCATCACTTATATTGTTTATTTCTGCCAATTTTCCCTAGTAGACGTTCCATTTTTAAATTTTCTTATGCTTAAATGCTTAAGAAAAGAAGTTCAAATAAGCAACTTAATATTATACCACAATGAACTAGAAAAGAAGAAACATCACTGATACTTAGATGAGGAAGTAAATAACAAAGAAAAATCAGAAATAAACAGATCAGAATAAATAATAACATAATATTGAAAGTAATGCGGTCTCTAGCAAAATCCAAATGCCATTTTTGGCAGAAAGAACAAAACCCCTCCTAACATTCATATGATGGCACAGGATAACACATACCCAGAACAATCTTGAAAATGAAGAGTTCATTGGTGGCACCACAGTTCCTGATTTAAAACATATTACAAAGACACAGTTAACAAAATAATGAACTATAAAGATAGGCATAGACTAATGGAAGAGAGTAGGTGAGCTAGAGGTCTACTTTTTCAGTATTAATGTGTATGACAATTAACTGAAGATCTTGTTAAAATTCATATTCTGATTTGGATTTCTAGGTTGGGTCTGAGTTTCCATATTCCCCGCAAGCTAGTAAGTGATGCCAACATCTTAGTTCAAGAGCCACAATATTAAATTAAAAAAAAAAATAGAGAAAATCATGAATGATTTTGAACTTAGAGAATATTGTAAAAATTACAACTTCTAACATCAAGAACAGAAACAATTCTTCTTGAACATATACTACCCACTACATAACATTCTAACATTTTTTCATAAATTCACCCATTAATCCACACTAACCTATGTGAAGAGTAGAATTGTTCTTCATCTTTCAAAAAAATATCTTGGCAAAACTTCAGTAATAGTAGAGCCTGAGTTTTACCCCAGATTGACGTTGAATTCATGTAAAAGGAACAGAGACCAGTATACAGAGGCACCTCTAAAATGTTCACAGTAGGTTGCAAAGTGACAATGGGAATGCAAACATGATTAAATCACAGAACATTATCAATTAAAAGAGGTAAGGATAAAACAGAACACAGAAAAAATTACAAATAAAATTAAAAAGAATAAAAATGATAGACCAAAGTTTTTTTTATTGTCCTTGAATCTAAGAAATGTCTTCAGGGGCATAAAACTTACAAATCCATTTGTGGATGAAGGGTTTTGTTGTCTTGCAAACACACCACAGAGACAAACACACAATGATAGAAATGAAATACCTATTGTTTTTGAGTGTCTTATAGTATTGAAAGTTTTTGCTCATTTACCTTTGTGCTGAGTTAAATCTTACAATTTTAGGGCAGTGGAACATGTATGATGCATGCTTTCCTTCCACAGAGCAACAGAGAAATGCTAAGGAAGCGGTCTCAGGAGAGAGCCTTCATTTTGAAAGCAGACTACAAAGTGGAACAGAAGGGCGTTTCCAGATTAAATGAGATGATTTATGCACATCTTTCAGTAAATCCTCCCAAGGTATGTGATGATAAATGAGAAAAATTATTAATCTTATAGTGGAGGGATGTGACATACAGGGCAGCGGAAATCAAGTGCATGAACCTGTAATGGGTCACACTGGTGTCAGGTGCCTAAGGTTCTTCAAAGGAAGCATAAAAGTGCTATGAAATAAATGTCTAAAACTACAACTAAGTAAATCATAATCTAAATGGAAACCTGAAAACATCCATTTCATTCAAATATCAAGTCACATATAGGACCCATACACTGTAATCTGGAATAGTGTATGTAAACTATGTCTTTCGTGTGTGATCACAGACTTTCACAGGCTCCTCTTTGCATTCTGATCAGCTCAATCACAGAGGCTTTTCCTGAGATCCAGACATGGGAGGTTAACCGATGTACAAGAATCGCGGAACTCTCATCTCCTGTAGGTACCCTGCCCTCACTTCCTAACATCCTTGAGGGTTCCTCAAACACTGTGGGATTCTCCACTGCAACACAGATGGACTGGGAGTTCAGATACAAGTCCCAGTCCTCATGTTGACTGATGTCTTCTCCAATTTTTGTCTCTCAAGGATGATGTTCTTCTATTCTAACCTGTGAGGGCCCATAGCAAGGTACATCTATGTACAAACGTGAATGATCTAGGGGCGCCTGGGTGCTTGACTTGGTTAAGAGACTGACTTCAGCTCAGGTCCTGAACTCAGGGTCCTGGAATTGAGCACCCAGTAAAACCCCATGTGGAACCCCGCAAAGGGCTCTGGGCTCAGCAGGGAGTCTGCTTGTACCTCTGCACCTCCTCCTGCTCTCTCAATAAATAAATAAACCTTTAAGACAACCAAACAAACACAAAGTTATTGATCTACTCAAGTGGAGGAAGAATAGGCAAAGTTCATTTAACACCAGAGCTGAATCCATGGCTCCCTTACCTCATTTATCTCTCAGGTTTAACCAAAGAATGATAAAAATGATTCCTTTCTAGGTGGTGGAGAAAAACAAGGAGGCAGCACACCTCACATGGGAACCAAGAGACTGAATCAAGGCTGCATGGAATCCAGCTTCAGTTCAATGAAGAGCACTAAGTATACTTAAAACAAAAACAAAAAATACTTCTGTAATCTGAAGCACACTACCAGTTCCGGGCAGTCAAACCTTGAGAATGTATGCTCCACACAAAATTCCAGGTCTGCATCAGAGAAGATGAACAGTTTCAAAGAGTCTCTCAACTTAGGGAAGAGGACCAAATAGGTGGGCCTGGAGTCCTTCCCTCCCTTCACTTTTCATTCAACCTAGTGTCACTCCTGCAGGGTGAACAGGATCCGCCACTCCTCTCTGGGGCTCCTTTTATTTCTCCTTCTTCCTGTCACCACGCCGAACATATTCTTGGAAACAGTTCCCACTTTGACAAGTAATGCAGGAACAATCTGCTTCTGGTGCAACAGTGGATTTCGTAGCATGGACAACACAGATTCCGTAGTCTTTAAAAACACCAAGTTTTCCCTACACTTTTACTAATGCCCACTGCTTCAGGGTACAGAATCTCTTCTGTTTTCCATGCAAGCCTCCTCCTAAAAATTGACTTTGCCTAAAATCAACACAGGCAGGAAAATCAGTTGCCCTTTCCAATATCCCCAAAAGAATTCACTCATACAGAAAAGCCTTCATGAGACATGTGGTCATTGTTACATACATGTTAATGGTTGAGAAATGAGAGAGAGCACCTTGTGGGAAAAACAATTTAAGAAGCTCTAACAAAAATTACTGTTCTTCCATCTACCTCCCAGGTTAGCCTGTGGGGACTCTAGGCTCTCCCATGTCCTCCTGTTTACTTCTCCAACCTGCTAGACACACTCTCCTCCACAATTCACATTTTATCCATTGT